TAATAATAATAATAATAATAATGCGTGTGTTGTGATGCTCTGACTGCTCTAATAATAATAATAATAATAATAATGATAATAATAATAATAATGATAAAAATAAAATATAGTTTAATGCGCCACGAGCGCACGCGCCCCTTAGAGGTCAAAGGTCAAGGTCGTAGACATGGCGCACATTTAGCCCAGCATCGACTTTTAATGTCGGAGTTGAAATGCGGTTTTAAATCTACGATTCTACATTGTTCTTATCTCAAAGCTAGCGCGGGTTTTTAGCTGTAAACCACGGAGGGGATTATTACGTGGGATTTCCCCCTCCTGGGACAATATGGCGCTTTATTGTATCGTTCGTACGCTCTTGAGGACAGCGTTCAAGGTCGCGCGCGTGCAGCGACCTCTATATCCTATAATGTTGTAATTTATTGTGTTCTCGCAACGGAGAGAATCTGTCTCTACGACGATTTCTACTTACCGCATATTTTACGATCCTACTATATATGTGAATTACTTCATGTAAATATTTATCAGTCAAACCTCTTTATTATTCGATATAAATATGTGTATACATATTATACATACGTGTGTTTATGCGTGCATGTGTTTTAATTAAACGTGTAAATATTGCGTGACGTCAGTAGTGCATCTTCTACCGAGAGGAATAATCATCGAAGAATTAAAAACATCTGTCTTCCGTATAAGACGTGTTAATAACAATATTTGGTTCTGTGAGCAGTGATCCCTTTTAAGTGAAACCGCGTGGTGGAAATATACGCTCTTATTTTAACTGCCAAGCACTGTAACTTTGCGTGCTGCAACGAGCACCTACTCGTGTATAGGTAAGATCTTACACTGCTTCGTGAAACCACACACGAATTCTATCAACACTAGTGTTATACAGCCGCTCTCTTGTTCGATGCGCGCTAGGTATTGTGGGTCAGTCCAAGTCCATACCACGGGATGACGTCGCGAGTTGGCATCGACACTGTAAAACAAGATGGCCGCCACAGTAGCTTCTCCGGCGTTAGGGTAATCTCGTCCCAAGAGTGAGGGGCGGGGGAGTTTGATGAAGTTTTCAGTTTTAGAGAGGCCTTTTAACTCTACTAATCCGTGTTAAGACGCGGACACGGATGCGATAGCGCGCGTTTCGTGGTTCGAATCCGGATCCATATCGACGCTTACGCTCGTCTGCATCACGGCCGTCCGCACGACTTCCGGCGGTCACCATGTCGACGTACTAGTTTACAATGGTTGCTAGACGATTCCGCGCAAGGGAAAATTCGTTCGCGCCTTATTTTCGTCTGTTATTTAGCGCCGTATTTTAGCGCCTGTGTAAATTTTTGCGAGCGAGTCGAAAGCGGGGCGAGAAAACTAGACCGGATACGGAAGTTGGTGGTAACAATGACACGCGTCTGTGAGCTTTATTCCTATTTGTGCATCTATGACAGCAGCAGCAGTATATATATATATATATATACTGCATATATACGTACGTAGTAGACTTTTTACATTGTTCTTAAGAGTTTT